AACACAAGACACATCCTTTGAGAAAAAAAAATGAAAGATGGAAGAGCACCACGTAAGTACTTTGTTGGTCTTTCAAAAACACACCCACTAACATGGAACAGAGCCAAGGATAAAAAAAAGTCAAAGCTCTCACCATTGATTATCCCTGAGGGATTCATCATGCATTTGACTTCACTAACCATCGTTGGCGGAGACTGAATGCATATCTTCCTCTACATCAACTCGCGGTGGCGATATATCAAGCCAGTTCTGCTATAGTCCCAGAAAAGTTTGGAACCAATTTACCGACCCCGGAGGAATGAAGGGCTTGGTGGGCTTGGAGCGCGGATCGATCCCGTGTATATTGCAGGGCGCCTCCGACCACCGCACCACACGCGGCCGCGGAAGAAAGTAAATCCGCAAGAAAATAACGAGAAAAGTGAAGATTAACAACAAAATATATAGTGCTAGGACGTAGAAAAAGACTTACTATTGCTACCAGATTTCATTTACTCTAAAACTGTTTATGCTTCAACTGTGATAGAGCACATTCATATTTACCTCCGTCTCCCAAATACATGGCGGCCAAAGGTCATCATCAGTACTTTGAAAGAGCTGGCTAATCGCACGTTGTAGAGAACTAAGGAACTCGACACTTTCTTTGGTTACCTGAAGGCGCCCAAACCATCGCAGAACGTTGAAACGTATACGTCTAAACAGCTACTAACGAAGAACTCAAAGAGCACATACATGCACAGAGATGCATAAAGCACAACAAACTTCACATGATGTGTAGTGTTCCGTATAAAAAGTTCCAAAAGATCAGTTGATGCAGGAAATCGAACAACCAATGCTGCAAGAAAGTCGGCCGCAGCAGTTAAAAGCAACTGAGTATTCAGCTGATAAGACAACTGAGCACAGATAGTTGGAATAACTGACTCAACCTGCAATGTAAAAGTAACAAAGACATGCTATGAATCGATAAAAGAACATTACTGACCCTATGGCAATCGTAATAATGCTGAAATATTTGCAAAACTCCGGACCGCAGGTGTCTGCGATGGGGATCGAACAGGCTATTACCGGCTTTACTGAGTTCTATGCCGATTTGTGCTCCCTAGATCAATGCTGTTGACGAGTGATTGTTGACGGCACTGGTAGATAGAAAACTAACAGAGAGTAAGGCGAAACGAACGACCCGCATGGTGTTCCGTATAAAGAGTTCCAAAATATCAGTTTTGGTGGTGAACGCGTAAGTCTCCGAAAGAGTAATAGCTCGCTCGTATTCCACCACATATATCTGCAGTCCGGAGTTTTGCAAATATTTCAGCACCATTATAGTTGTATTTCACATAATACTCCATCGTGAAAAATTGTAATAAGCAACAAATAAAAAGTTAACATCTATCCTGTGATAATTGGGTTGATGTATACAGTACCTTGGAATAGACAGAAGAATACGGTTCCCGTAGAAATATTCCCAAAATATTAAATCTACCACGGAGATCTGGAGCAAGTTCATAGAAACAAAATTCGAAAATCTGAAAAAACCGCGTCGGTATTCAGTAGAAAACTGTAAGCAAAGTCAGCAGAATAGTACAGAAGACTATAGTAGCGAATAAACAATTACTCACGTTTTCATCGACCAATGCGGTCCTGGCAACGAATTGTACAGCTTTTTCAAACAGTTTAGTACCATGTTCTAGTTCAGAAAGTACCACAAATGTAACAAGTAAATACCTAAAAGCTCTAAAAGTATCTAAATATCAACATAAACAATTAATTGCACCAAAAATTCCAGTATCTCAAATGCAGAGAAACGAGAAAACTGAAGAAATCGGAGAGTAACAACGCAAAACCTACCGATGGAATACCTTGAGTTCGCTAACAGTAAGACGCTTCTTCAAGTCATTGCCTTTCTTAGCTAAAACCCTCCCTAAACTCGACAGGAACATAATCTCGTCTTCCGAATCGCTAAATGGTAAGAGTGTCCGTAAAAGTGAAGTGAAAAGTGTAATTAAGTGAAAGTGAAAAGTGAAAGTAAAAGTGTAGTGATGTCCGTCATCACTAGCATGGCGGTAGTTCCGCTCCGGGCTAACCAAGGAACATGTCACCTACCAGACTCGACGTTTCTCAAATGACATCATCCATGCTTTAATGAATTGCACTATACGATCAGTATCCGACTCCTCCAGCATAGCTGTTAGTACTACCCAGTTAAGAGATGGCTGACTGAGAAACTTCTCGTCGTCGTCGTCATTTTTCTTACATACAAGAAGCTTTGCCGCAGCAAGTCTTGTAGCATGCGAGAACTTAAGAAAAACAATAAAAAACAAAGTATGTAGAAGATGCAAATGGCTACCCAATATACCACCACTAATCTTTAAAAAATTAGCCTAACTAGCCTTTTACAAAATTAGCTGAGAAGAAAGCTAAGCAAAAGCCTCCGTGGTGCAGTGTGTAATGCGTGAGCCTCCGGAAAAGGCAATCGTGGTTCGATCTGGCCTAGGGTCCAAGTTTTACCAATATCTCAGCATCATTGTGGTTGAATCTAACTAACGCTAGCCGAATAAAGATTGTTTATCAAACTCTTGTACGCTTAACAAAGGAAGAATATAGGTTGGTTTAAAACTATGAGCTCTGCTAACCGCTCATCCTACTGATATGTTCTGTGGAATCACGATTTAATAACCTAGAAGCGAATACTCATAAGTGAGAGAAACTCTCTTGATTTTTTATTTCCACGACTAACCAACACCGATTCCCTTTCTAAACCCCTACCCACTAAACCACTAAACAAATTGTAACACCTTACTGCAACCCTTTTTATTAATAATTTATAACTTTGTAACTTTCCTAAACAATTGCTTTAGATAGAAAGAACTCTTACTTAATATCGAAATAAAACGCACTTTTACAATAGTTTCGCTCTTTGCTTAACTTCATTAAAACTTCAGAATGGCTCAGTCATGTCGTCACTTTTTATTTACTGCCTATTCTTTTTCATGGGAGGGTATGGTGTGAAATATAAGCATGAAACTATAAGCATGGTGATGCCGAGATATTTGCAACACTCCGCATCACTGGTGTCTGCGGTGTGGACCGGACACGCTATTAACCTTTTAGAGAACAAATGCGGTCACCACCACACCATTCGAGTCCTTCGTATCGTCTTTCTCTCAGCCGTGTTATTACCGTGTTTAGCCACGGAATGACTCTACCATCTCTAACAGGCAAATTTCCCTAGACACTTCATGAACATTTTTTAATGAATAATACGAATAGATTAATGACAATCCTAGGGTTGAACTCATTATGCTTTGATTCACATCGTTTCAAGCACAAGTACTACTCTACTACCTTCCTGTTAACGACGACAGAACGAGCATCACCCAATAGATCAATATCCAAACGATTAGCTTTTCTACCATTCTGAAAATAGTGGAGTAGTGGCAAGTCGTACGTAGAAAGTAAAAGAAGTAGAAAGCGTTCCACAAATAGTTTTAGTAATGCCAGTAACATACCATGAACTTGATGAATTTCTTACGATCATCTTCCAAAGGAAATTCTATCATCCTGCGAAGAGTTCAGCGTACACACAATATAAAAACCATCTGTAGGCAACTATTGAATGCATATATAACATATCCGCACATATATACGTATATAGAGAGATTGATAGACAGATATACAACATCATGGCATCGCCGTAAACACTACTGACGAATTCATGCAACACATTCTCCCAGAAGCATATTCAGTTCTTCTTCCGCACTTACTTCCAGTACTCGCTAACCAGAACCGTTAAAACAGTGACATCTTTGCAGTAGCATACAAGTAGTTCTAGTACAACTTCGTCATCATGCAGAACTACTATTGATGTGGAACTGTCCAAGGAATGCTGTCATCCTCTAGGCCACTTTCCCATGTTCACATGGTGGATGATGAATTGAACAACAACAACCGTCTACTTTCCTTGTGATGCAAATAGGTCTCATAGACTACATTTCTGTACCTCAGAGACCAATCTTGTACATTCCGTAAATACACAATCGGATTTAAGCATATGCTATGCCAGCGTTTATTTAAATTGACTACCATATAGCTCAACGTCAAAATCCGCCTGCAGTGTAAGAATTCTTACGAGCTCGTATTACGTAGACCCAATAGCTTAAAGCTCAGTTCGGTAAACGACCTAGAGGTACTACTTCAACAAAAAATCTACAAAAAAGATTGGTTCTCAGCTAATGTCGCATAAAAAAGTGAACACACTGTGTATCGTCATAACCCACTACATGGACGAACTAAACCAACCCAGCCTTTAATACAGATGATCATGAAATCTTGCTGGATACTTTGATCGGAGACGAATAGAAAGAAATGGAGAAACAGTAACAATAGATCTATCCGGCGCTAGCGTTAAAGAAAGGAAGGACTTCATTAGCACTACCAACACATGACAAACAATCTACATCCTCAGGTTGGCTAAAGCTAGCCATTCCAGGACAATTGTTAACACAACAGTTCGCTTGTGTATTTAATGACAAAAACCCTCTGAAGTCAACCAGTACAAGCAGATACGGAACAAAGCTCCAATGTGCTGATTACACGGATGCGAAAAACTGCTGCTGGACATCGAAACAGCAAAACCCAAAGGATCTGAAGTACCCGTACCACCTACGACGATCTTTCACATGAGCGTACACTCGTCAAATAAAAGGATGATGAAGAAATGTTTAATTCCCTGCTGGAAAGGATTATAACTGCGTCGCATGGTCATTCATGTCCGCACCTCCTAATTAACCTACTATCAGAAGCCGTGCACAAAGAAAAAGAACTGACACTTTAGCATAAAACTTTCGATAATGAGGCTTTTGAAAAGCACCAGATGACCTCAACACCAGATCGTAAAGTTGTGCTAGCTTTTTCCTCTTTTATGTCAGAAAAAAACATTTGTATCCTCATACTGAACAACAGGAGATTACAAAAGAAATATATCAACAACAAACAACTTCATGCACTTAGAATTTAGCAAATCCTTTCTTTGTCGATCCAGCTTTGTTTACTTTCAAGACATTGAATCGGACAGTTTTTGAAAGTGGACGGCATTCTCCGATTGTGACCAGATCTCCAGGAGCGATGTCACTAAAAAATCACAATCATGATAAGGTAACAATGGTAGGTCTTCGTTAGTGATAATACAACACTAAATTAAGTGTAGTGTTTAGGGAACTTAATGTAGTGTAACCGCCCAACGGTTTGCCGCCTCATCATGGATGGGAGATGTTCCTGGGTATCGGGCTGCGATGTACACCGGGAGGAGGGATTCATCCTCCCACCAGTGTCCCCTAAGCTGAGGGCTGTTTCCATCAGGGAATCCAGCTAAGGGTTAACCAATCGGCCTTCATTGATGATGGCACAGCACTAAAAAAGTAGCGATACACATGTCACTGGTGAAAAAAAGTTAGAATCCCTCAAGCAAGTTACGCAGCAAACGAGGTGGTGTAGACGGTGCTGGCCAAGAAATTTTGCTGGTCAAAAAACTCAATTACGAGGCAGCTACAATGTCTTATCACCAGCTATATCCAATCACAATTGGTGTGGACAACGCAGTGAGCGTCCGCTCTTACTGTTAACGATGTTTGTTAAATTTATCACTTGTTTGCTTGGTTATGAAAGTAAGTTTTCCCAAAAAAAATTTCCAAGCTCCAAATAGTAAAACAAAAAGTACGGGAAACAATTATTTTCTAGCTAACGCTATTGCTGCAATAGAAACTGTTAGTACTGTGGAATGATAACTATCTTTTAATCTCCATCTCTTCTTTCTACTAGGAAAGAATCTAATAAGCTGTGTTGTCAAACATTACTACCAAAATATGTTGAAAGCTTTAGCTTGAATGGGCAGAACTCAAAACGAATTGATGAATTATCAACCGCATACGACAAAAGATAAAACTCCCACCGTTGATCAATCAATCCCTAAGAGATGCGCCATGCATCAAACTTCATTAGGCATCGTTGGAGGTGATTAAAACTATACCTGGCCTTTACAATTCGCGTTGGCCTGCCGATGTATCCAGCCAGTGCTGTTGTCCTCCCAGAGAAGTCGAATTCCAATTTTCTGACCTCTGGGAGTGCGGAAGGCTTGATGAGCTTAGGGCGCTGGGATCGATCCCATGCATTAAAGGGCGCCTCCAAACACTGAGCTAGACGTGCCTTGATGGCATATAAGTTTGAAATAACTGGCGATCTTAACTATTTATAGAACGCATAAGCAAGGTCGTGTGTTTATGTTGTGATATCGCTGCTCAGACTGAAACCACCCTTTGTTACAGAAATCTACAGCACATTGAAGTCTTTACCGACTACATCATACTGCGACGCACGATGTACATGCATCATCCCAAAACAGAACGAAAAAATAAACCAAAATAAAGCTTAAAAACAATTTAGTCATTATCCCAAATGTGGATGATTTCATTTAAAAAAAAAAACAAGATGAGGGTGCTGGGTGATTCTAAAATCATTTTCAATAAGCTGCCTTGTCAACCCTTCATTAACCTCATCTTTAAAACGACTCTTAAAACAAAAGCCGAAGAATGCCAACCGGAAAGCTGGCGAGCAATGAGCCGGCACATTCTTGTGTCGCTTTTCGAAACGACGGTACTTCTTCACGAAGTGAAGGTAATCACGACGAACTATTATCGTCCTTGTCATTTTGTTTTTGAGCACGACACCAGTCAAAATATTGCCACGAATCGAACAGTTTCCAGTCCATGGGCACTTCTTGTCAATGTAAGTACCTTGGCTTGCCTGAATGTCATTAATTAACGAAAGGATACAAAAATCACGCCAAACGAGATCAATAAAACTACCTCACGTGGTGTCTTGAAGCCGAGTCCAATATTGCGAACATATCGAGGAACCTTCTTATTGCCGGATAGCAAACGAGCCTTGTTATTCAGATTAATGGTTGGCTGTTTGAGGAATGCCCTCTCGACTTGTTCAGCCATTGTCTTCCCAACGTTCTAAAAATATACATCATTAATAATAAACAATCCACATAGGAACTTCAAGATCATGCAAAGCAAGAAGCAAAAAATGAGAAAAGATGCTGAATAATAAGAGCATTTAACAATTAAATGGTAAGGCGACTAGTCTCTGGGAAAAAGGTTCAGAAAAGGTCGGACCTCAAATCATATAACAATGACAACAACCTGTAAAATTACAGAAGATTCCAAAAAATCTACGGACTACCATTTTTAGCTTAAGGTTCCTCACGGCTTCAAGGCTGAATGCATCTTTCAGGTGAAATGTCAAAACGCTTATTTGAGAACGTTCGATGGCAATCCATAGTCACCATAAGTGTCACAGCATCAAAGAATAAAGAACTTAGAAAACTTTAGAACCAAATATTACGTCTATTAGAATTTAAATGATAAGAAAACCCATTCAGGAGGAGATACACAAATCCATTAGAAGGAAGATTACACGAGCCATTGTCGACTAGGAATACTGTTGCAGAGATCGTCACTGGACCACTAGTTCATTGCAGCCTTTAAAAATGCTGCTGGAAAGAAGTGCCTCATGAAAACGGCCTAAATCTCGAAAATGAGTGATTGGTGGCTTTCCATTACCCGTGCCAACTGTGTACGGGTTTCCGTCAATGGTGTCTAACCATGGGTTGACGCCATGTGCATCGATCCCAATGCGTACGTTGGCGAAGCTGCCTGCTAATGGGCGTATATATCTCAGCTTGTAGTGAATATTTCCTAAATACAAATAATTAAAATCCGTAAACTCGTGAATTCACAGCAGTCAGAATCAACTACCACCTACGGAGGTCACCATAACGACCTTCTAAAGGCAGTGATTCCTATGCTAACCTAGCACTGTTTAACTCTTTTATGACCGCGGCAATAATGGAGCACAGTAGAAATATGAATTAAACTCAACACGTACGGTCCCTGCGCTATTGCGAAGGGCATAGTGCAGTGGTCTGTTGAGGTTATCGCCCCATTATTCCATTCTTTCGTATATTTTCTGTATCTCTCTAGCTTCCACGTATCCGATATGATCTGCTTTTGTTCCATGTACATGGATCATATCTAACTCTTGTTTGTGGTGAAAAGGAACTCCTCCATAATTCATTCATAGTTCTGCTGAAATTGAAAGAAGTTCTGTAAGTTTAAGAGGAATATTACTATGGATACTTTGTGGTTTTGATACCTTCGCAATCCATACAATGCCTCTTATTCATCGTGGCCACCGGAAAGGGCAATCCCAGGCTCCAAGCTCACCTGAGGTCCCAAGTTTTACTCATATGTCAGCATTCTTATGGCTATATTTCACATAATACCCTGCTGTGAATAAAGAATAGGCAAAAATAGAAGTTAAAACGTTGTAACTTCTATATACGCATACTTGTTTACTTGGATACTTGGACGGCCCGTCTTCAATGCCTGTGCTGGTCCAAGCATATTGTCCATTTTTCGGAATTTTGCTAGTTTAGCCACTGTGCTTCCAAAAGAGGTTGAACGGTCGTCATGCTTACTTGTATACTTGGATGCCTTGTTCGCACTGATTGTGCGGGCTCCAACACAATTTCCATTTTTTCGATAGTTTAGCTATTGTGGCTCCCTGGAATCTCGAGGTCAGCCTGGCCAAAGTCTGCCCCAGGTCTTCACCACCACAAGCAGTCGCAGCCTTTGTGGATTAGAGGGAGATTTGCCACCATACGACTTTGATACCAGGACGGTGGCGGATCCTGGTATTGGTTTACTCTTAGCTAGGCTTCGTGATGGAAACACCACACTCCTCAACTTGGGAGACACCGCTGGGGGATGAATCCCTCCGCTGTACATCGCAGCCCCACACCCGGGAACACCTCCTAGCCACGATGAAGCGATAAACCGTTGGGAGGATGATGCACACATTATTTATGCTTAATTCTTCCACCTACTAAAAATACCTCTATAAGATTTCTTTAGCATTGCAAAATAAATGCTTTGGAGAACAGTTACAACATCGGTGATAATAATGTGTAGTAGGAATGTATTCCTTCCCCAATGCTGGAGTCTACCCATTGATAAATGCGCTCTTTTTTAGGATGCATAAACCTAATGTATGCTAAAACCATGTTTATAGAAGCCTCCTCGATGATATGCCATCTGTTCGTGACAATAAAAAGCCAGTAACCTCTAAACGTTACTATGTAGGTACGAACAGATTGGCTGTGGAATTCAAGAAAACGCGGACGAACTCGCCCCGAAGTATGGCATGGTACACTTTCACCTAGCATAGCGCATTGAGAGCACTTATCTATGGATCGTACTCAGTATTGAATCTATGTTCAACAGGCTGTCAAGATACTGTAAAGTCTGAGAAAGATGCTGTGCACCGAAATCACCTTTATCACCCGTAGTTCCGTTGATCGCCGAATGACTCGAGCGGGCGCCAGTAAATCTTCCATTTTTCCCTGTCACGTGCAAGAGTAGCCCAGTGGGTTCTGCTCGCTCTAGGGACTCGTCGAGCATCATATCTTTCTTCAAGGCTCTTTGTGGGGAACTCTGACCATCGGGTCGGTGGTCTTCCTGCACTGCGTTTGACATCCCGAGCAATCCAGTCACTAACGGCTCTTGTCTATCGGTTGCCATTCATACGCATTACGTGTCCGACCTACCTTATCTTCGATTGTTTGGCATACAGAACGATATCTTTGATTTCTCATCCCTTGCCTGTGTGAAACAGGGTAGTCCTAGCATCGCCCTTTCGACTGCGCGCTCAATAACGTTGAGTGATTTATCATCCTGTTTACGCAGTGACCAGGTTTATGACGCATACATTAACGCAAGAAGCACCATTGAGTCGAAAAGGTGGGCACGGAATCAGGTGTTCTTTGTTCTCCCCACTACATCCTCGATGCTCTTGAAAGCTCCCCAAGCCGCTCGTTTCCTTCTGCTCAGCTCTGGAGCTAAATGGCTTATCATGTCGACTTCCCGACCTAGACAGACATAACTGGAGCGTTCGGAGATATTCGTTCCGTTGAGCTTGAATGGAGCATACGAAACCAGTCTGTTCCTCATGAACATCGCTCTTGTGAGATTTAGTCGAAGACCAATCTTTCCACAGGCTTTATCAAAGTCGGCAAGCATACGTTCCGCTTGGCTAATGTTTGGTGTTATAAGGACGATGTCATCAGCACAACGAAGATGGTGTAACTGCCGACCATCGATTTTCAATCCCATATTATCCCAATCCAATGTTCGCATGACGTTTTGGAGGGTAGCGATGAATAGTTCTGGCGAGATGGTATCGCCTTGCCTAACCCCTCTTCTGACGTCAACGTTAATACCGTTGTAGAACGGTGACATCTTGGTTGTGAAATTTTCGTACAGCTCACGAAGCATTTTTATGTATTGAATAGGGACTCCTTGACGCTTCCATGACTACTTCTATCGTAGTTGAGTCAAAGGCCTTCTGTGAATCGATGAATGTGAGAGAGAGCGGTCTTTTGTACTTTCACGATACTTCAGTGAGTCTTGTCATCGTGTGGATGTGGTCCATCTTACTAAATCCTTTTCGAAACTCTGCTTGCTCACATGGCTGCCCTTCGTCCAGTGCTCTGTGAATCCTGTTTAGGATGACTCGAGTGACAATTTTGTACACGACAGGCAGCAAGCAGATTGGGCGGTATTGCCAATATCGTGTAGGTCACCCTTCTTAAACAATAACACGGTCTTACTGGTCTTCCACTGAGTAGGGACCTCGCATTCAAACAGATAAAGAAGAACTAAGCCAGTGTGTTTACGAGGACTGGCGGAAGGTTCTTCAGCTTCTTGTCTTATCCTGTCCGGACCTGGTGCTGTTCGATTTTTCACCGACGAAATGGCATGTGGGAAGAGAGAACCGGTGGTACAACATATCCATCCTCCTTTATTTCATATGACGGAAGGTGGACGTGGCTATCGAAGAGATCTGAATAGTAATCGTGAATGATTTTCTCCATTGCCTTTCTGGGCGCTGTAACTGTTCCGTCTGGACGTCGGAGTGCAATCATCTTGGTCTTATAATTGGCCAAGCTTCGGTGGGCTTTGCAAATGCTTTTCCCAACCTCTGCAGCTTCGACCATTATGCTGCTCTTCTCTCTTTAAGATCTTTTATCGTCTGTCTGCATTGTTTTGCAAATTCGGACGTTATTTCGCGGTTACCTGCAGCTCGTGCGATTTCACGCTGGCGTATCAGTTCGAGAGTTTCTGGAGACAAACGTCTCTTGGTCACTTTCGAAGTCTCAGCTTTCATAGCGCTAACGTGAAGATGTTGAATGAGCCGATCATATTCTTCGTCGATGTTATCGACAACGGCATCTTCCCAAAAGCCTACTAATGAATTGAATAAGTCCCACTCTATGATAGTTTTGGGGCTTCGTTTTTTGAATTTAGCGAGTTTTTCTCCTTTTTGGGAGAAATAGAATCTTGCGCGAAGGAGATGGTGGTCTGATCCCATGCGGAATTTTGGGACAACACCGACATCGGTTAGGTAATACCTTCTATTTACTATGATGTGGTCTATTTCGTTATGGTACTCTCCACTGGGAGACTCCCACGTCCGGCGTTAAGGTTGGGGCTTCTGGAATTGCGAGTTACCATGAATGATCTTCGTCCTCATGATAAGCTCAGATAGCCGCTCACCCAATTCGTTCCATTCTAATCCGTGGATTCCAATGTGACGTTCTTCTTGGTCTAACCTTGGCGTTAACATCTCCAGTGATGACCTTGAATGTATGGTCTTCTCTGTAGAACTTCTCCAAGTCCATATAGAACGCTTCCACTTCTTCTTCATACATTGATCTCGGTGTGTAAACGACGATGATTCTCGAGCCGGTTTTGATCCACATCTCTACAATCGTAGATGTCCAATTCGGGTTTTTAGGTGTTCGACTGAATCGATGTTCGTGACCAAAATCGTGCTGTAGTGAACGATGACGCCGTCATCTCTAACTGCTGCATGTCCGGAGGAACAGTTTTCCTACGGTGTCATTGACAGCGTTGAACGGATGGCGTCGTCTTTTCTCGGCCAGGCCGATGACTTCGTATCCTATCCCTCTCGCTTGCATGGTCAGTCTTCTAGGCTTTTTGCCGAATTGACTTGTAGAATACAATCCGTACAAACTTGAACGCACTCACACACTCGTTCATGAATGCGCCTCGTTAATATAGAAAATATGTGCCAAATCGGTGCAGCAGAAACAGGGATTCCATCCCTCCATCGATTGCACCGAAATAGGCAAGAAAAAAGGCGTTTTGAAATCCTTTTTGAAATCAAGAAGCAAGGTCCGAATGGTACAGCAGCGTACATGTCGAAATCAGTGCTCATGGTCGCTCAAGGATTAATTATCTGAAAGTTGGTTCCGCTTGAAAAGCCGCTTGTGAACACGTTGACCCATTCTCTTGCACGTCTTCTTCGAGATTCTGATTCCATAGGCATTCGCCTCAATATTCCACTCGTCTAGCCGTCCCTACTCCTTTCATTATAGGATCGCTTCATCGATGTTAATAAGTATTCGTGTTTTGAGACGTATTCAACTAGTTCTCTAAGACAGGATAAACTTCGAAGGTCTAGACTAGCATAACCGGTTTATGAGTGAATTTGTTGGCCCATTTTTAGTATCACTCAAATGCCCTATGTATAGCACTGAGATTTTAGCAATCTCCGTGCTCGTCCTAGAAAACGCTTCCTTATCAGGGACTTTTTCGCGGTTGAAGTGCCCAAGTACCGAGGTCAGGAAGGTGGAAGGGGGACGAAAATGCTCATTTAACGCGGGAAGGTGGGAAGAAAAACTTCGTTTTGCTGGATACCCATGTATAGCCTTTCTGAGCGCTGAATGTGGGGTATGGGTGTACTTATGGGTAACTTGACACTCTCTCTCAGAGTAGACGGCGAGCTTATTTGTTGAATGCAACTACTTCCCTCTCATTTGATTGCAAGCTTTTGGCCACATTTCATATTAGCATAGAATTCCCATAAACGAGAGCATACAAGCGCACGCATGTATAAATGCGTCCTTGTAAATACAGAAGATATGTGTCAAATCAACGCAGCAGAAACAAGTAGTCAATCCTCGGGATTCACTTACGTCTCAGGGAAGCTAGGGATCGCTTTGGATAATGTAATTTAATTACTAATTAGTTATAATTAATTACTAATTATGTAACGTGACTTTATTACTGTATTAAAGTAGAATTCTGGTTCTGTCCAACTGTTTCTTCCAACTTATTATGTAAAATGTTGCTTCTCGAATGTTTTGTGTTTTCAGCAGTCAGTGTTCCTCTGAGAAACTGTAAAATAAAAGAAAAGATAAACCTCTCGGCGTTGATCAATCCTCGAGGGATGTACCATGAACTCAACTTCATTAAGTACCTACTGGAGGTGATTGAAAGCATATCTGGCGTTTACAATGACTCGCGGTGGCCCAACAGTGTATCCAGCGAGTAGCATCACGGCTCTGAGGAAGGCGAAGTCGCCGAAACGTCAGCCATCGATCAATAACATCAAAAACAACGACAACGACAACGAAGACCTGTACCAACCCCGCTTCAGCTTAAGGAGATCAGTTTATAAGATCACATAAATAAATATATCCAGTGAGTGCTGCTATGCTCTCAGACAAGCATGCTACCATTTTGCCGACCTCAGAGGGATGGAAGGCTTCGTGGGCGAGGGACGCCCTCAACCACTGCGTCACCACACGCGCCTCGGGAAATTATAAAAACTTAAAATTCATTGCCATTTTTTGAAAGCTGTGATTCTAAACATATCTTTCTACTTCTGCTCAGCAAACACGAGGTGCTATTCCACTTCCCCACTCACGTAAATGCTGACGTTTCGGCGGATTTCGTCTTCCTCAGAGCCTGGAAAGGTCACGTCGACTGCAACCTATTCGGCCAAGCACCTTCACAACCAAACAGAGAAAACGCTAAACCAAGATTTCAATCACATTGAACACAGCTTCGCACGCTCACCGCTTTCTATGAGGTTTCCACTAAGTATGTCACGTAGTTTAAGAGTTTAGTTTAGAGAAAAGTTTAAGACATTGCTAACACGTAATAGGTGATTTGCTATTCAATAGGACTACTATGGCTCGTTTAAACCTAACTGTATTTTATGAAACTGCGTCCCACATTGAGTACGTGCACACAAGTGGTTAGAGATGCGCTGCAATACACATGGCTTCGATCCTCCGCTCCAGGCTCGCCAAGCCTTCCGTCGTTCTGAAGTTAACGAACTGGTAAAAGATAACTGTAACGGTAACCGTCTGGGAGGATAGCAGCACTGAGCCAATGCATCGATAAGCCACAGCGAGTCATTGTAAGGGCCAGATATGCATTCAATCACCTCCAACGATGCTTATATATAGGTCACATAGATGGTTGCGAACTACCTGACGTCGTAGAGTGTCCGGTGGTATTTCTGTCACTCTTACGGGATTCTCTAGACCGGCCCTTATTAAGCAACGTTTTATAGCTGCACTTATTTCGTTTGGCATAAAGGGCAAGAGGAACGGAGCCTTGTTTTCGCTAGAATTATTGCTCTGGGGCGTGGTTTTTCCTCTATGCCTATGACGGGAAGCCACAGTTTCGTAACCATTTCAAATGGCTATTTGGCACGCCAGTTTCGAGGATTCTTCCCTCTGCTCTCCACTAGTGCACACGCTGGAAGCGGTTCGAGACATATTTCTTATAAGCGCCTTTTTAGTGTGTGAGGGATGAGAGGAGAGGTAATGAACCACTATATTCTTACTGCTTGGCTTTCAATACCATTTGTCTTGTAACCGTTTTTGGATAGGTTGATTTCAACGTTTAGAAATGGAAACCAGTTTTCTTTCTGTTTCTCATGGGTGAATTTTATGTTCTCTGACTGTTCGTTCAATAACTCAAACCATTTGTCCATTTCCTCTTGTGTGGAGCAGATGACAAAACAATCATCTATATACCTACAGTAGAGTAACGGCCTGAGATCGATTACTGGTGCTTCCAGTTTAGACATAAAGGCAACGGCAAGGGTTGGTGCCAGTCGCCGTCCCATTGCCAACCCTCTAATTTGCACGTAATATTTCCCGGACCATCTGAAGATCGAGCAGTTTAAACAGACCTTCAGGAGGACCATAAGCTGCTGAATCGAAAAGCCATACATGGTAATTGCTCCTACGTGTTGCTCAAGAAGCTCGCGAATGGCTTACATTGCGGAGTCGTTCGACACGTTAGTTGAAAGGGTGGTAACGTCGTACGACTCCATAACGTACGCGCTTTTGGGACGTGAGTTGCGCAGACGGTCTAGGAACATTTGAGTGTTCGTGAGGTGGGTTAGTATGTGC